TTACGTCATCTTCACCATCACGACTTATAAGTAATGTTCCAGGACCAAGTGATGATGATGATGGAAGAAATATTTCAGGTTGTAATTGTTCAACTGCATTATTTGAAGTAGTATGATTTATTGGAAATGTTGAAGGTATCTCATTACATGGAAGTGATCGACTAAAATAGACAATGAATTACATTAAGGTTAATTAATTTTATGTTTAATAAATAAATAAAATATTTCATAATTGAAATATCAACTAATGAAAGAGTCTTCCGAAGTTGAAAATTACTTTTGAGTTCGAACTTTGTACATAAGTTAAGCTCCAATGAAATACTAAAAAACTTCCAAAAGGATAAGAACGTTTAAGTCTTTCTTACAGAGTTATAGTTGTCTCACTGAAATTTTACTTATAGATATGCTAACTTGTAATTAGAATGAACTCAAAAGAATATTTCTTTCTTAAATACAAGTAATCTTTGGGAATTTACTGTCTTCCGAATAGAACATTCTAGTTACAAGAATGTCCATCTATAGACGAAATTTCATGTCAAAACATCGTCATTCGGTTCTTGAATACATACTGTATTGTAGGCTAAATTTTTTTTGATATCTTGCTAGAATTTATTTTATGCATAGAGTTCGAATTCAAAAGTGATTTTCAAGTCGAAAAGGTTTCCTCGTAAGACTATTTCATAACATAATCAGGAAAATAATAGATAGAAACTTCTTAAATAATGTCGGATTTGCTAGAATTTTTCTACAATAATAGTTCTGTTGTGAGATCTTAATCATATTTGTACTTTATCTCTATCTATTTATCTTTATGACTGTATTTATAAAATCTGTCTACGGATTATAAAATATATTCAATTATTCTTAACCTAACAATTGAAGCTCCATTATTGATTTGTTGTTTCATTTTGATCAGTTCTATATCTGATTTTTGATTTATTGTCCAAAATGTTGTTCGATATAATTGATCTTTTGTTGGTGGTTCCGTATATAATGATACAATAACACAAGTGAAAAAAGTTAACCAAAATAAAAATAAAGCATAATACATAAAATGAACTTTTCTTATCAACCAAAATCTTGAATCTTTTTCTCCACATAATGGTGGTTGTTGTGAAAATTCAAGTATCATTCTTATTAAACCAAATATAAAACCGATCATTAAACCAGCAAATGCACCACGTTCATTTGCACGTGTCCATAAAATGGATAATAAATAAATACATGCTATTGGTGGTGCTAAAAATCCTATAACTTGTTGCATGTAAATATATAATTCTGAACCTTGCATTTGTATAACAATTGGTATCCATGCAATACCAAATAATGTCATAAGAATAACAAATAAACGACCAACAATCATTAATTCTCGATTTTTTATTTTTGTTCGACGAAATGATAATATATTGGGATAAATATCAACAGTGAATATTGTACTTGCTGAATTAAATATTGATGTTAAACCTGATATTAAGGCAGCAAGCATAACAGCAAGCATAACACCTTTAAAACCATTTGGTAAAATTTTTAATATTAATGTTGGATAAGCGATATTAGTACAACTTCGTTTGCTATGACATATTGATTCACAAACGGATGGTTGATTACATGCAACAGTATTGGGATATAATGTTCGACTTATCATACCAGGTATAATTATCATAAATAATGATAAAATTTTTAAATAGCCAGCTAATAAAGTTCCACCACGAGCATGTGAAATTGTTTTGGCCGCCAATACTCGTTGTACCATCATTTGATCTGAACACCAATACCTAATGAAATATAATTCTATTGATTCTTATGTTTTTTGGTTTATTAATGCTATTCATATTACAACATGTTGGGAATTTACAAGGCTTCGATATAAATTCAAAGCATGAGAAGTTTATTTCATTCATTATTCTGTTGCTTTGATGAACAAATCACTAAGCTCGTTAATAACTCGTTAGATGTACAAGCATAAAACTAGTCTTTTTTTTCTGTTACCATCATATAATGCTTACAATATTGATTCGTTTTTTCTATTCAAATAAATATTAAAAGAATTCAAAATTTCAACATAGAAAAATTCTCTTTTGCCCATCCGAATATAATTAAACGTGCTTTAAAAGAAAACAAAAAAAAAGTAATACATTTACCAAATTGTATTCGGTGTGTGTCCCAGAAAAAATCCTAGCCAAGGCATATCTGAATCAGATATTGATCTTAACATTTGAAATGATTTCATTGTTGGTTTACCACATGTTGCTGTTAGATTTGTTTGATTTAACCATATATTTGTCATATTTCCATATTGTTGATCATCATTAACCGACGGCATTGCATTCAAATATCGTCGATAAAGATTTGACATACCACCTATTTCTTTGTATGATAAAATCATTACAACAAATCCTCCAAAAATCATTATAATAGCTTGTATTGTATCTGTATACATAACACTTGCTAAGCCACCTGATACAGTACATAAAGCAGTTAACATAAGAACAAATAGAACACTTAAATATATATTCCAATGAAAAGCATAATTAATAAATAATGATGCTGCATATATATTTACACTTATTTTTGTTAATATATATAGAAGAAGATAAAGACAAGCTATATAGATACGTATACGTTGTCCACCAAATCTTCGACTCATATATTCAGGTAATGTTGATACACCAGTGGCTATAAAAACTGGTAAAAATACCCAACCAAGTAATTGAATAATTGCAATAGAGTTTAATTCAAATGCTCCAACACTTATACCTGAAAGTATGCAAATATATCTGTAGAGAATTCAATTTATTATCGATTTTTCTTTTACCTTTAGCAGCACCAGAACTTGCTAGGCCAATAAAATGCTCTGCGCCAATATTCGATGCAAATAAACTTGCACCTATACATAACCATGGCATTTGTCTATTAGCTAAAAAATATCCTTTAACTGTTGAACGATTATATTTAAACATTGAATAAAATCCAGTGCCAACTAATAATATAAAATAAATAACTAATGTTGTTATATCGAAACCAGTTACATGATTATTTGATTGATGATCATCCAATGTTGTTGACATTGTTTTTTCGTGTATAAGATAATAATAAAACTAAAAAAGAAATGTTAACAAATCAATATTCAAGCTCAACTATATAATATTTATTTAAAATGATTAGATCATTTTTATTTTATTCGTTACGATGGAATACAATTATAGACATGAAAAAAAAATTGTAATAACATGCTGATAATGCTAAAAACATCAGGTCTTTTCTTTTCTTTCCTTTATTCTCCTACTGCTTAATAATCAATCACTATTTGCGAATACTCTCGATGGCAAAAGTCTTTATAGATTTTTTATTCAAAAATAATAATAGGAAGAAAAAACAATAACTGACTTTCGTGTACTCACTAGAATAAATAACTATAACAAGTGTGTGCACATTTATTGTTTATATTTGATCCAATTCGCAATGTTTTTTTCTTTTGTTACTTCATTTGCTTTAAGCTATATGATAAGACCCTAAAAAATGATATTCGATCTAAAAGACAATGCGCACATAATAAACACATAAGAAATCAATTTTTTTACGATGTAATCTAAAAACAAAAAAAAAAGGATTTTGTTGTGAATTTTTCATTTGTGAACAAGGACAAAAAACAAGGAAATAATGATACTTTTTTGGATTTTTAGTATTCCAAAAGAATACAGTGATATTTATTTATGGCTCTAACGTGACTCGGTATTAAAAGGCCATCGTTGAAATGAAACGAAAAGAATAGAGATGCACGCAAAACTAAATATTACTAATCATTATTGCAATATGAAAACTAATAGTAGATGAAAGGTTTTATTCAAAAAAAAAAGTTGACTTTGATTCTTATTCTAAAACAATCTGTATGTTGTGTCGAAGGAAAAAAGAGTAAAAAAAACAAAACAATAAAGATTTTCATTCACATGTAACTGCACTAATTGAATCAATTTCTAAACTAGATGTACCATGTTGTTTAATAGGCGAATAAACACCACCAACAATTTGTAAACCAATACTTGTTATATTTGTTCGATCTAATGGTGGTGTTGTATTTGGATCTAATGGTTTACCACGACTATATGGTTTAAAATCATTAAATGATAAATATTGTTCAGTTGGTTCATTTTTAGGCAACTAAAAAGAAAATTTCAATATATTAATTTGAACGATGTCTTTCTTACTTCAAAAAAGATTTCATATGATGGTTGTAAAGATGATTCTTCATTATGATGTCTTAAAATAACTTTATAGATAAAATTTTCACCTTGTGCTCGTACAGATAATTGAAGACCCGTAAATGAACTTAAATCAAAAGATTTCTTATGATAAGCAACACCAGCAAATGCAGCACCATTTGGTTGTGGATTAAGTAATGAAAAAAAAATAGCACGTTGAAATTTTTGTGTTTTTTGTTCAACAAGTACGCCTTTCGATTTTCCAACATCACGTTCAGTATCCGATATTTCTATCCAATCATTAACTGAGGAAGTTGAATCAGTAAAATTGAATAGAGTTTTCGTAGATGAAAATAAACATCTTGTTGATCTAAACCAAGCAAGTACACATTTTGATTTTTATTATTATTTTTTATTACTTTATGGAATTTGTTGACATATTTGTAAATAATAATAAAAGCCGGATACTGATAAACATCTGTAATAAAAAAAAAAGAAACACCGTAATGTGACAATCTCCTGTTTGTTTTATCATTAGTTTATCAAACAAAAAGAGAAGTTTGACGATTTGCTTTTTTATTTCATAAAAAACGAAAAAATCACCAGAAATAGAAAGAATGCAAAATCAAATCTAATCTTCACAACTATAGATCTAAGACAAGAAATACTTAACTCGCCAGTGTCGATAGAAAAACAAAAAGATTGGCAATTAAATGTAAACCTAGTCGATTTATGTTGAATGAAACTTTAATTTTTTTCTCGTCCTAGGTATTTCTAAAAAAAATTAGTGTTTCATTGTTTTTAAATAATACCACGATCACGTAATACTGATGTCACTGCATTGTATATAAATAGAAAATTATTACTTAAACGATTTGTCTCAACATCACGCTGATTTGTTGTTATTGATTTTGATTTTACTGTTAACGTATCATCAGTTTCGGTTTGTTGAATAGTGTTTGTTGATGGTTTATATGTTGGTTGTTTACGTAAATAATCAACAATTTTAATAGATTGTTTCGATACATCATCTACTTTTTGTGTTGCATCTATTGAACGATGAATATTTCGTTGACGATAAAAATCAATCTGTTAATAAAATCTAAGAAATAAAATGACTCAAAAAAAAATTGTTTTCTTTTTACCAATGGTGTTGTTTGTTTATGATAAGTACTTAATCTAGCGGTAAGTGTTTCATTAGTATCGTCAGAACGACGTTCAAGTGTTTCACCTGTTTTATCGTCTTTCATTGATTCTTTAGGTGGATTAAATTCTTCATGATATGTTCGACCTGATGATTTATGAATCAGTCGACCAAGAATGCGACGTTTTAACAGATCATCTTCAATCTAAATTTAATTAATAAATAATATATGAGTTGAGTTTGATTCAGATGAGGACATAATTCAATGGATATATATATATAGTGTCCCTCAAACAAAAGGATACTTAAAAAAAATAAAAAGCAACAAAGGAGTGCTTCTATTCTGAGAAAGAATAAAAGCCAACATATTATTAATGTGCGTATATGTAACTGTTAACACACCAATTAGTATCTTAACCAAAAAAAAAAATATTTGAGAAAATGGGAAATTTTTCAGCACGTGATTATAAGATACGACTATTAAAAAGTAATATTCGGCTTGTATAATTGATGGTAATTCTAATTGAGTCTTAGTTTGCCAATCCTCTTTGAGATTCAACTGTAATTAGTTTACTTAAATATTTGAAAGTGTAGAATAATGTTTATCATATTTTTCTTGTTCATATTATTTTGTAGCTAAATATTTTCTGAAGATGATTGAAGCAAAGTCATTTTAAATTAAGAAAATAGACAATAAATAATCTTAGAATAATATCATTTAAACCAAAGCTAAAGTGTTACTGAACAGGATTACTTTTGATTATATTACTTAGCCGTTGTTTTTTTTGTCGGAAGTATTAGAGAAGACTTTGAATTTTAAATATATAGATTCTATGTGTAAATCGAAAAAAATAGTGTAATGAGAAAGAATACGTCGAGTGACACTTGAAGAACACATAAACTAACATAAGCTATAGTATCCGAAGTAATTCATTAATATACTATTGCGTGGATGGATTCTAATAATAAGATGAAAATGTCTGTATCTGGAGTATGTCATTTGCAAGATATAAATAGAAATAAAATTCCGGCTATATATGTTAAAAATATTATTGCGCCTGTAACCCAACTGATAGCTACTAAATGAAATTCGAAAAGAACTGTTACTGTTAAATTAGTATGGTATTTCTCTTTATATACGACTTTACTATCGTTCTTGAAGTGAATAAATTCAATGGAATGTTATTGATTTTCTCCGGATGTCATAAGTTATATTAGTTTTTGTGTTTCTCAAAACGCCAGGCTATGTGCTATTCTGAACGTTGCTATCTGTTTCGATTTACACATAGAAAGTAATGTTCTAAACTGAAAATTTTCTCACATATTCTTGACAAAATACAGAGCTTGAATAGTACAACCTTGAAAAATACTTTTCAATATTACTTTCGTTTCGATTTAAATATTATTATTCTAAGATTATTTATTATCTATTTTATTAATTTAAAATAACTTTGTGTCAATCATCTTCAGGAGACCATGACGTAAATGAATTACAAAATAATTCAAAAACACTGAATTACAAAATAATTCACTTTCTATTAGTTTCTACCAGGGTCTACCAGGGTATAGGGTCTACCAGGGTCTACCAGGGTCTACTAGGGTCTATCAGGGTTTCGCGGCACCCACATCGAGAGAGACGTGATGTAAGTCGTTTCGCGGCACCCACAACGAGAGAGATGTGATGTATGTTGTTTCGCAGCACCCACATCGAGACTCTAGTAGACCCTGGTAGAAACTAATAGAAAGTGAATTATTTTGTAATTCAGTGTTTTTGAATTATTTTGTAATTCATTTACGTCATTCAGTGAAAAATTTTCATTTATCAGTAATATCTTATAATGATGTGTCAGAAACTTTTCTATTTTCTTAGGTGTTTTTTTTTGTTAAGATACCAAGTGCTGCAAGAATAAAATAAGGATAGCAATAGTTACACATACACATGCTAATAGCATATCAGTATCATTCTTTTCTAAAAAAAAGCATTTATTTTTTTGTGTACTCTTTAATTTGAGAATATTTTAACAATAGATTCGTCTATATTGTAAGATTTTTTAATTCAATAAATGCAATGGTAATGTACATAGATACATTTCAAAATCGATAATGATGGCAACAAATATTTCAAACAAAAAATTCAACGATAACGTTTCTAATTATAGCTAAGGGAATATATATGCACATGAGTCGAATAATAATGCTTACTAGTTTTTATTTTTACTTGTTTGAAAAAAAAATGATGAAAAAGAAATGACATATATATATATACTCGATTAAGACTAGAAATGACCGTCTTTTCTCAAATTAACTACTGCAGAATAATGGATTCTAATTGATTGAACAAATCATTAGAGGATGATTAGCTATAAAAATTTTTCGAATGAATTCTTTGCAAACTTACTTAATAAATCATTGTCCTAGAAGCAAAATACTCGAAAACATCAACTATTACTCAGCATCAGTCAGAAATAGGCGAAATTTTTTGAGTATTTGGGTTCTAGCACTATGATTTATTGAACAAAGTTGAATATTTTTTTAATCGAAATGATTAGTGTAACGAGTTCTACAAACGAAAAAGAATTTCTTCTAAGAAGCTTGTGATTTTTTGCGTTTGGCATACTCATGAAAGTGTTCGTGAAAAACACGATTCGTAATCACGCTATTGTTGATAGTAGCAAACAGAAGTCGTACTCAATATTTAAAATTTGTTGCTTTGTTATGATTACATACAGCATATTCCAAAACTGCATCGATTCGTTTTTGTCTTGATTGAAGTAATTGTTCTAATTGTTCACCTTGATAAATTGTTCGAGGAAAACCATCAAATAAAAATCCATTACGACATTCAGGCTTATTTAAACTTTTATCAATTAATGACATAACTATTTCATCATCAACAAGTCCTCCTGATTCCATTATTCGACGAATTTTTTCGCCTTCTCCTGATGTTTTATCTTGAGTAGCTTGACGAAGTAAATCACCTGTTGATATTTGACATATTTGATAACGTTCTGCTAATTGAGCACTTTGGGTACCTTTACCTAAAGATATATTAAAATTCAATTTTGAGTATTTTATTTTCAATAAAAATAAAAAAAAATTGAAAAGGAAAAAAACTATAATAATATTTACCACTGCCAGGTGCTCCAATAAGAATAATATTTGCACCAAGATCAGTTTTCTTTTGATTATCACCATCTTTTGATGTAGATTGTTTTTGTTTATGAATTTCAGTTTTACTCATCGATGATGAAGCCATGATCAAACTAAGAAATTTATAAAAACAAAATTATATAAAATATCATTCTTTTATATTATCATAATAGGCTTTCTTTTTTCTTTGGTCTATAGAAGAAAATATTTTTCATATTATTTTTTGTTTTGAAGTACAACAACAAGAAAAAAATAAAGACGAATAAATAAAAGTGCATCTATGGGTTTAATAGAAGGACATGATCGATTCATCAAAATAGTTAATATTGACACAAAAAAATGACGTCGTTTGATGTGTAAACGATGCTTAAAAACATATAGGTCTTTCTTTTGTTTACTATTGAAAGTTTTTTGCTCTCTTTTGATCTAATACAATGTTAATATTAATGTTTCTCGGAAACACTAAAGTCTCTCATTAACGCTTTTTTTATTGGAGAAAATGATTTGGTAGTTATTAACAAAAATAATTTCTAATGATTGTTTGTGATAATAAGGGTAATATTAGACGAAACATGTAAAGACACTTGACCTTTAAAGGACATTGATAACGAAAAATTTTGTACTTGAAAAGATAAATCAGAATAGAGAGAGAAATGAAGACAACACATCGAGTATAAGACGAATGGGGTACTCTCTCTCTCTTAATATATATTTAAAGAATATGATTTGTTACTCGTCATGCATTGAATATGAATGTGCCTTTAGCTATAACATAGATGGCGGAGTTTCTCATCAATAAGTACAATGGTTAAGGAATGAACAAAAATATATTTCAATGTTCAACAATAATTCATACAGATAGTGATGATAAGATTGTTTGAGTTTATTTATCATATCAAACGAATTCATTTAGATTTTCACTTAGTGTTTCATCATTTTCTTATGTATTCATTATTTTTGGTACTGTTAGGAATGTAGTAGAAATCATGCCGATACGCAGGAGTAACAGAATATGTAGGTTAGATTATGCATAATCCTTACCTAAAGTGAATACTATTAGGCTTAGCCACATCCGAATTAAGATTACTTCCTACGAGATCAGTACTGATTTCTTCTCAACGTATTTTTATTGTCTTTAGTTGAAGCGAAACGATCACTGTATTATTTGGTAAGCTCATTTTTGTGTCACTATTTCTTTCAACAGTCGAAAAAGTTTAGTCGAACGATTTGTACATCGAGCTCATTATTTTTCGATAATGTGTTTGAAAGCGATACAGCCAAACAATATTTTATGTCAAGGCGAAACATTTAGATCAATTGACACAGATGCTCTTCTTTCTTTGGTATTTGAGATGAAGATAGATAATAATCATCATGCTTTGAAGGCTAAACTAGGTTTCTGATTACTTTTAAACATCATAGCTAAAATTAATGAACAGTAATTATTAAAACCAAAAGTCAACAATTATCAGCGTTCTCTTGTGATCTGAGTAGAACACTTAATGACGCATCTTTTGAAAAAAAGAATCAACATTTATCATGTTCCTGAACAGAATTACATGCAAAACTTTCGCCACATTTGGTATACATTGTGATGAAGAAAATTAAACAATAAATAGAGCAGTAGATCTAACTAACTATGTCATTATGTTTATTAATGAGGTCTTTTCATTTATTTATACAAAATTTTCTGACTTGATCATAGTTCCTTTCTTGTGTCATATTGTCATTCACTTTGTTTTATTGAGTAAAACACTTTTGTAATGATTAATGAAGCATCAGAAGAATTTTGGCTGCAAAAAATATTTGAAAAAAATAGTCTGAAATAGTGTTTATTTTTACACTTATCTGAATTTCAAGCTTTCATATTTTCTGCATACATTAAACATCATAAATCTATCAACACGACAGAAGATTATGATCATATTGTTTGTTGTAATGGATCAAAATGTGATTTCATATTAAAATACTAATCCTACAAAAAAAGTACTCTCTTTCTAGTTTAGTATCAGGGTCAATATTATAGATTATAATCAATAAATACCATCAATACTTGAGTATTTTAAAAATAAAGAACAAGTGAAACATTATCTCTTTCAACACAAAACATGTGAAATATCCCCTGCAACTCAAATTTCTTCTCATGTTGATACATCAAATTTACTTAATCTTAATAGCTTACTAGAAAATTATTACGAGCTTGGAAATCGGTCAAAGCTGTTTGAACTTTTAAAACCAATTGATTTCTTTTATCAATTATTAGGGTACTAAAGATGATCTATTTTGCTCGACTTTTAATGATTTTACCAATTCAGATATATGAGCGCAAAAGTTTTTATAAAGATGGAGCTTACGCTATCTTATCATACGATGAGAACTTCGAATCATGCTGCATGAATTTATTATGCTCATGAAAAATTAGCAAACAATCAGACGTTAAATTTGGTTTGAATGAAAAATTTTTCACCTCTATGGTTTCATGGCAAAAATTTGAGAAAAGACTTTCTTCTATTATGAAAGTTATGCCAACTACTAGTTTCATGTAACTATGACGATACTTTATTGAAGAAAGTTAGACAAAACAAAGCATTTGATGTTGAATTACTCAATGAAAAGTTTTGAAAGAGTTCTTATTTCGTTTCCATATCAGTGTATATAGAACGTACCGGAGTAAAATAGATATTGATTTTATTAGAAACTTCAAAATTTATATGAATTTTACGTTGTATACTCTCATGGAATTGTAGCCTTTTTGTCGAAAGAACTACTAGTTGGTTAATTAATTTATTAAACAGACCAGTCCAGTCCGGTCGACGAAAAAACTATGTAAATTCTGAGTATGAAATAGTCTAATGTGAAATAAATGGTTCTTATACTTTTTGAAATCGTTGTAGTTTTGAAAAGTTAGAAACTCCTTCGATACAAAACATAGCGAAATAATATATTCTTGTTCATGACAATAAGACATCTAATTAGTCTGAATCAGTTTACTACCTAGATCTTGCTCAGGTCTATATAAAGATTATATGTAAACAAGTTTATCGAAGATAACCAATAAACTTCCACAGAATTGTACCTGATTTAAAAACGTTCCACCACCTCTGCAGACAGGTTATTTTTAATTATAATAATATGAATTAATACTAAAAAACGATACAATTCTGTATCCAACAATGAGTTATTTTGTTATTAGAAATTGAAAAGAAACTTTTTTTATGTCATATAGAAGATCACGAGATAATGATTATCATTTTCACATCTCACATTATGGATGTATCAATTACTAGAACATGATGTCAACCATGACAGTTTTTTTTAGTATTAAGAATAGTCCCATGCTTTGTTTATATTAACTATGACCAGCTTTTGTTTTGTTTTATCTACAATTGTAGTCGAAACTCATGAAATACAGAACAAAGCTTTCGAAATCGATTGGAAATTCTTATTTTTTTGTTTTTTTCTTGTGGCCTATTCGAGCTAATCTTGAGACCTGTGTTTTTTATTAGACAAAACCTTAAAATAGCCTCGAAAAGAGCGTTCAACCTTGATCCTGATAGGCATGAAGGATCGTTAGAAGTTCGGTAATTCTCAATACTGAGTATGCATTTTTGTAAGCAGAAATAAACCAATTCTTTGAATTTCTAATTTGAGGTTAGAATATTTCTAATGTTGAGAACTACTGAACTCCTAGTAATTCTCATGCTAGTTGTCATTAGTTTTGATCATTCTTTCCGAAATTATACTTAGATTTTGTTTAATGTGAAACTCGAGCCTCAAAATCAAATGGAATAGATCAGAAAAAAAACTAAAAAACGAGAATTTTCCACTAACTCCAAAACATTTGCTTTTTATTTCATGAATCTCAGTTACAGCTTCAGATAGAGCAAAAAAAATGATCATCATGGTTAATATAAAAAATCGATAGTAGCTACATTCTTAATAAAGAAAAAAAATGTTATCGTTGACATCATTTTCTAGTTATTCTCATCGCAGATAGACAAAAGCCAACCAGTTAATCTACCGTAATAATCTATATCATTGATGAAAATTAGTTGTTAATAACTAACACGATTTCAAAAATTATAATGAATTTAGATCCTATAAATTGGAGACTTAATATCGTATTATCAATTCATATATATGCACGAAAGTTATAACAGCCTTTCATAGATGTTCGAAAAAAATAGGTTGATTACAACAAATATTTACTGATTTAAAAGTTTCATAAATTATACTTTGAATAATTTTATCTACGAGCTCAGTATGTCTTGTTTAATCTAAATACAGTTAGGTCTTTTAACATCAATTTCCACTTGTAGAATCAATATAAATTCATTATTTAAGATTTTAAATACGTATGATTCATTAATTTAATATTTTACAAGAAAAATTCAAGATACACTGATCAACACAATGACTATTCACCATGACAAGATATACAACAGGAAAACAACAATATATTCTTTTATTTCAATGAAAAATAAAATATATTATAATAATATATTCAAATTTCACAACAATCATGATTTTTCTATCATCTTTCTTTAGCTTTCTACAAAAACGACCAAATAATGTAAGTATCGGGCGTTCAATCGATAAAAGCTATAAAAGAATCCGATATTCAATTTTAAACGATGCTACTCTTTGATTGTTTGTTTCTTTTAAATTGGATATATGCATGAATAAAAATAGATAAAAATGCTAAATATATACCAAGAATCGAATACCAACTTAAATGATGATCATAGAATAAACATGATAAAGGAATACTAAATGCTTGCCGTATAGTCATTATTATTGTAAATATAACTGGACCAAATTCTTCTATTGTTGAAAATATAAATAATTATCCAACTGATGAACATATTGATGTTGCAAATGCATGTATGAGAAATGATTGATGTCGTTGCATAAATAATATACATTCAAGTAGAGTACCACTAAGAATAAGGGATGTGCAAGTAAGAACCGTTGAGATACAATTAACACAAAGCATCATATGAAGAAATGATATCGAATAACTATCAAATACATGTTTTTGATAGCTTGATGTAACAGAATCGAAAATCTACGACAAAAAAAGCGCAATCTATAAGAAATCATATT